CAATGTCGTTATTACGAGAAAAGATGTCGTTTTAAAGAGAAAAGATGTCGTTATTACGAGAAAATATATCGTTTTAACGAGAAAACATCTCGTTATTACGAGAAAATATGTCGTTTTAACGAGAAACAATGTCGTTATTACGAGAAAAGATGTCGTTTTAACGAGAAAAGATGTCGTTTTAACGAGAAAACATCTCGTTATTACGAGAAAATATGTCGTTTTAACGAGAAAACATCTAGTTATTACGAGAAAAGATGTAGTTTTAACGAGAAAATATGTCGTTATTACGAGAAAATATGTCGTTTTTAACGAGAAAAGATGTTGTTTTAACGAGAAAACCTCTAGTTATTACGAGAAAAGATGTCGTTATTACGAGAAAAGATGTCGTTTTAACGAGAAAAGATGTCGTTTTAACGAGAAAACATCTCGTTATTACGAGAAAAGATGTCGTTAAAAGGACATAATTGAGTGGAAAAAATAATATGTGTGCGGCAACAATGCGTCACCGTACTGAAGCAACGGTTTGATTTGAAAAACATCTTAATGATGAATTTATTTATTAAAAACACACAGCTTTTTGCTTCACAAGACTTGGATGGACTAGAGTGGTGTGGATCATTGTGGTATTTTTATCAGCTGTTTGGGCACATTCTGATGGCACCCATTTACTGCAGAGAATCTGCTGGGGAGCAGGTGATTCTGATGCAGAAACAAACTCATCTGCTCATCTTGGATGGGTGTGAGTACATTTTAGGAAAATTTCATTTTTGGGCGAACTGTTTCTTTAAAACAGCATTTGACACATATTAACAGTAACAAACAGCACTCAGTGTACACAAATAACCTTGGTCATGTGTGATTCCAAAGTGTTATATTCTATAGTGACTTCAGACTTATTTATGCAAGTGTGATGTGATGTGATGTGTATGTGATGCAGGCAGGATAGAGATATAGAGCCAGAAGACTTCCAACGTTACAGTGAGAATGTGCAGGTGTCGCTCCAGGACTGCCCACTAGAGAGACCCCCTGCCGCTCTCCACAATAAAGACAGCAGAGAATCATCTAGAAGAAGTCCAGGACATTCCCGCAAGGTGCAACATTACAACACACACAGATGCTCAAATACACTGTGTTATTACACTGTTATACACTTAAACATACTGTTGTTTCTCAGGTGGGCAGGGATGAGTCTAGCCTGCCACATGGCTTGAAGAACAATCCTTTGGATGCTCCGGAGACAGAGGCTGCTTCCTGTTACCTGTCCTCTCGCCCCCGAGTGACCCGCCATGCCCACCACTATGGCGGTTTTGCCCACAGCCGACATGAGTACACAGGAATTGCCAGTGTTATCAGAGATGAGTGAGTATTGTTGGGTATAAAGAAGGATGACTGCAAGTGGAATTAACTCTAATTAATTATGAGATAATTTTACTAAAATTTAGTATTTCCAACAGGCTCATTTCTTGTTTGATATTTCGTGACATTTTTAGAATATCCACTTGAATGGCTCAAAAAAAAAATTCAGTTTAACCTGAAACAGATTCACAACATTTTATTATGTTAGCTGTTCAGTGAGTGACACTACAAAGATAAAGGTAGAGTAGGCGATTTCGGAGAGGCTAGCAAATAGCAAGCTAGCTTTGAAAGCATAAGATCCCACCCTTCTACAAAGCCACGCCTCCTCCAAAACACATGACTGGGCTCAGGCAGACCAGAGGGTATCCAGCAACACGATGAGGCTATTGAGACTATTACAATAATAAAGCAACAAATGCAAATACATACAGTTAGGTCCATATACTGTATATTTGGACACTGATACAGTTGTCATAATTTTGGCTCTGTATGCCACCAGAATAGAATTAAAATGAAACAATCAAGATGAAATTGAAGTGCAGACTTTAAGCTTTAATTCAAGGGGTTGAACAAAAATATAACATAAAAAGCTTAGGAATTACAACCATTTTTATACACAGTCCACCCATTTTCAGGGGCTCTAATGTAATTGGACAAATAAATATAATCATAAATAAAATGTTAATTTTTTATATTTTGTTGAGAATCCTTTGCAGGCAATGACTGCCTTAAGTCTGGAACTCATGGACATCAGCAGAGACTGGGTTTCCTCCTTCATGATGCTTTGCCAGGCCTATACTGCAGCTGTCTTCAGTTGTTTGTTTGCGGGTCTTTCTGCCTTTAGTTTTGTCTTCAGCAAGTGAAATGCAACTCAATCGGGTTGAGATCAGGAGATTGACTTGGCCATTGCAGAATAATCCACTTTTTTACCTTCAAAAACTCCCGGGTTGTTTTTGCTGTATGTTTTGGCTCATTGTCCATTTGTACTATGAAGCGCCATCCAATCAACTTTGCTCCATTTGACTGAATCTGGGCATAGAGTACATCCCTGTACACTTCAGAATTCAACCGGCTGCTTCTGTCCTCGGTCACATCATCACTAAACACCAGTAACTCAGTGCTCCACCTTATTTCACAGATGATGTTATATGCTATGTTATATGATATGCTTTGGATCATGAGCTGTTCCAAGCCTTCTTCATACTTTTTTCTTTCTGTCATTCTGGTACAGGTTGATCTTAAATTCAGCCGTCCAAAGAATGGACTGGCTTTTTTTTATATGTTTTTTTGGCAACGTTTAATCTGGCCTTGTTTGCACATTGTGGTGAACACTCTGTATTTGCTCTCGTGAAGTCTTCTCTTGATTGTAGACTTTGACAGTGACACGTCTACCTCCTGGAGAGTGTTCTTCACTTGACTGGATGTTTTTCTTTATCATGGAGAGGATCCTCCAATCATCCACTACTGTTGTCCTCCATGGATGCCCAGGCTTTTTTATATTGCTGAGCTCACTAGTGTGTTCTTTTTTCTCAGAATGTACCAAACTGTTGATTTGTCCACTCCTAATGTTCCTGCTCTCTCTCTCTCTCTGATGGATTTGGTTTGATTTTGAAGCCTAACAGTTGACTGTTTCACTTGTATGGAGAGCTCCTTTGACCACATGATGTGAGTTCAGAAAAGCTTCCAAATGCAAATGGCACACTTAGAATCAACTCCAGACCTTTTACCTGCTTAATTGATGTTGAAATAACGAAGGAGTAGCCCACATCTGTCCATGAATAGGCTTTTGAGTCAATTGTCCAATTACTTATGGTCCCTTGAAAAAGGGGGAGGTACATATTAAAGAGCTGTAATTCTTTAACCTTTCCTCAAATTTTGATGAGAATACCCTCAAATTAAAGCTCAGAGTGTGCACTTCAAGCCCATATTCATTATATAACTGTAACTTGAATATGTTTTGGTCAACAGCTAAAATAATTAAAAATTGTGCCTGTGTCTAAATTTATATGGACATAACTGTGTGTTGACAGGCAGGTAGGAGAGCCTATCGTAACTCTCGGGCTGAGGAATATGATTGGACGAACATTTTATGGCCCTACGCTTCCACAGATGACATATATAAATACATTTAGATCACTTAACTTAGTGATTGTTATCAGGATGTGAAGAGAATTTCAACCAGCATAACAAAAAATATTTTTGAACCAGATCACCTACCCTGCCTTTAAAGGAACACTTCACTATTTTCAAAAATAGGCTCATTTCCCAACTCCCCTAGAGTTAAACAGTTGAGTTTTACCGTTTTCGAATCCATTCAGCCGATCTCCAAGTCTGGCGGTAGCACTTTTAGCTGTAGCTTAGCATAGATCACTGAATCTGATTAGACCGTTAGCATCTCGCTCAAAAATGACCAAAGAGTTTCGATATTTTTCCTTGACTCTTCTGTAGTTACATCGTGTACTAAGACCGACAGAAAAGGAAAAGTTGTGATTTTCTAGGCCGATATGGCTAGGAACTTTATTGACTTTATGGCTAGCATTTTTTTAATGCTTTATTTCTCCTCTACAGTCAGCTTTCAGCTTTCTGCTTGTCATGAATTCTGTTTGATCCTGCACATTAATTGTACTGGCGCACCTGGCGAAACATAACAGTGTTCTCTGTTTTTCCATCTTTTTTAGATCTCACTTTTCTCTATCGTTGAAAACTCAATCAGCATTCGGACTTATCTTCTACCTGGCTGACGAGTCTGAGGAGAACTTCATGGCTCTGTTCCTCACTCACGGAATGCTGGTATTCACATTCAGCTCGGGCCAGAACCAACAGTGTGTGGAAAATAATGTGTTTTTTTAACCTTAAACCGCATAAACACATTTCATTACACCAAATACACAAAATAATGTTCTTTTTAGCAACATCATATGACCCCTTTAACTAAAGCTGTCAATTGATAGCCATTTTTAGTAATGTTGTCCAGCCCAATCACACATTGGTGGGCGGAGTTAGTGCAAATGGCCTCTGCCAACAAAGCAGGCCTTTTGCGCTTAGTGTAAAAAGACACTCTGTAAACTTAAACATAACAAAATGAACAAACTTAAACATTAACTTTCATTTTTTTTAAATGCTTTCACTTCAGCAATAATCTGCTGATTGTCTTTTCTTAAAAAAGAGACAAACCTAAGGTCTGTAATCCAACGTATTTATGAATTCGAGTTTGGATAGTACATTTTCACATCTATGATCAAAGTGAAGGGGGGTGACGGTTAAGAGGTTAAAATGTGGAAAACAGTACTGGCAAAGAACGAGTAGATAAACATTTGACTTCTTAACCCAGTACACTAACCCTAATTGCTAACTTATCAAGACAAAGCATGTTTTGCTTGTGAGCGACATTATGGTGAGAGCCAAACTCACACTAACCAGCATAAACCAGCTTGAACCAGCTTGAATTCTCATGGTGGTCTTGTGCAAGAATACCACTAAAAAAATAACCCAACACATAAGTGAGAGCCTTGGTGGGCGGAGTTAGTGCAAATGGCCTCTGCCAACAAAGCAGGCCTTTTGCGCTTAGTGTAAAAAGACACTCTGTAAACTTAAACATAACAAAATGAACAAACTTAAACATGAACTTTTTTTAAACTTTCATTTTTTTTAAATGCTTTCACTTCAGCAATAATCTGCTGATTGTCTTTTCTTAAAAAAGAGACAAACCTAAGGTCTGTAATCCAACGTATTTATGAATTCGAGTTCGAATTCGAGTTTTCACATCTATGATCAAAGTGAAGGGGGGTGACGGTTAAGAGGTTAAAATGTGGAAAACAGTACTGGCAAAGAACGAGTAGATAAACATTTGACTTCTTAACCCAGTACACTAACCCTAATTGCTAACTTATCAAGACAAAGCATGTTTTGCTTGTGAGCGACATTATGGTGAGAGCCAAACTCACACTAACCAGCATAAACCAGCTTGAACCAGCTTGAATTCTCATGGTGGTCTTGTGCAAGAATACCACTAAAAAAATAACCCAACACATAAGTGAGAGCCACAGACAGACAGAGGCTCCTGTGAGAGAAGTGGAATGTGATCTGCCGCTTGTTCAGCCATCTGATTGGTTGGTGCAGAGGTTGGGGATGATTTAAACAGTCCTCAAGGCCTTGGGAAATGGAGTTGCAGCTGTTAAATGTGCATAGAGACATTTCACGCCCTAGTGCGGCTGTCAGGGGGTTACACATGCACATAACTCTACTTGGCTCAAGAGGACATAATCCCAGCATGCACAGCTGAATACACAGCAGTGATCAAGAATCAGATGTCTCCTTGTCTAAATGCATTAGCCATTGGATAATATGCTGACATAAAGTATGTTCTTCTCCTGACGTACAGATGACTCCTTTAATTTTGGCTCAAGACTTAAGATGGTGATGGAGGTGCGCCCTCGTGTGGCGTCAGGAGTGCTTCTGCATGTCTTCACCGGAGAGAAGGAATATCTCACCCTGTACATCTATCAAAACCAGGTCTGAAGATCCAATCAAAGATTTATTATAAATCCCATGATGTGTGATTCATCTTCAACAAGTTCAACATGACTTATGTTTTAGTATGGTAGTCAGCACATCAAGTATTGTACTTCTTCAAAGCATGACAACGATTATTAAACATAATGATTTATAAAGTACTTAAAGTAAAATATGTAATTTCACATTATTACAAAGTATTAAATGTAGAAGAAATATAGTCATGAAAGTGTACTATATTAAAGGGGTGGTTCATTGCGATTTCACTTTTTTTAATGTTAGTTAGTGTGTAATGTTGCTGTTTGAGCATAAACAATATCTGCAAAGTTACGAAGCTGAAAGTTCAAAGTTCAAAATCATCTTTTAAAATTATGGCAGTTTAATGCCTACAAAAACGGCTGGTAGGGACTACAACAAGTTACTTCCCGGGTTCGTGACATCACAAACCCAGATAAACCCCACCCTCGGGAAAAGGCAGCAAAGGGGGCGGGGCTATGCTGCGCTGCTTTAGAGAAGAGGAAGAGAAAACTAGAGGTGCACGTAAAAATCTGTTCATACATGAATCGCGATTCTGTCTTCTAACGATTTGAATGGATTCACAAGTTTCAAAATCAATGTTCAAAAGCAGCAGTTCTTAATAATGTTCCTTGCATCCCCCTTGCATCTCTCTCTCTCTCTCTATCTCTCATTCAGCTCACCTCCAACAACGAACTGTTACAATTATACACTTATTTTCACATAGCTATGAGAAGCGTTAAA